AATTCTTGCATATTGTACCGGTTAAATTTCGGTGTACCGGCTGGTATGCCGAAATTTCTGCCGATACACCAAAATTTGATCGAAATCACTGAATTTTGATCGAAACGAAATTCATTCTTACTCTGTTTCGGTCTACTCTAAAACCGGTACGTACCGGCCGTACCGACCAGTACGATACGGTATTTACTTCTTTGGCTAGGGGGCGAGTGTCCCTAGCACTGCTCAAAACAGAAACACCAAACCACAGAGAGCAGTGCTAGTTGCAGTTGCTTTAACACTTGACACCCGCCCTCTCATTTTGCCACCTCACTTCTGCTTTTGAAAGATGCACCAGAAACTGGCAAAAAACAACATTTAGTCCCTTACCTTACAAAATTGGTAGGTTTTAGCCCCTCACTTTATAATATGACAGTTTTAGCCCTTCACCTTACAAAATTAGTAGGTTTTAACTATTTACCTTACATTATGACATTTTTAGCCCCTCACCGATACGAATTAAAAAAAATAACCTTCACTTAATATCAGGTTATAACGTTCTGTTAGTTGACTGTTAACATCCGTTAGCATTCCGTTATAAAAAACATGAAATTTAAGTTCATTTTTATTTGTTAGTTCCATTAACAAAATACTAACGAATGCTAACAATCAACTAACAGAACTAACAGTCAGTTAGTAGAACTGACAATCAGTTAGTAGAACTGACAGTCAGCTAGTAGAACTGACAGTCAGCTAGTATAACCGACAGTCAGCTAGTATAACCGACAGTCAGCTAGTATAACTAATAAAATATTATAACTTGATATTAAATAAGGGATATTTTCTTCAACTCGTACATATAAAGGGCTAAAAGTGTCATAATATAAGGTGAGGGGTTAAAACCTACCAACTTTGTAAGGTAAAGGGTTAAAAGTGTCATATTATAAGGTTATGGGCTAAAACCTACCAATTTTGTAACATGAGGGGCTAAATGTTGGTTTTAGCCCCGGAAACCAGACTGAATAGCAGGGATGGCAATTTTCCTCGATCCCCGCGAGACCCCGCGAGGATCCTCGTCACGAGGACGGGGCGAGGAGAAATATTCCTCCCGACGGGACGGGAATGGGGAGCATTTTCCCCTGCAGAATTTCGCGGGGAATTTTCCCCGCCCCTTGGGGCCTCGCGGGGATCCTCATCCCCACAAAAATTAAAACAAATATAAATTAATTTTGTTTTAAATTTAATTCACCTTTCAAACCCAAACTCAAGTTCAAACCCAATTCAATCAAAATTAAATTTAACCCAATTTTACCCAACCCAACCCAATCCATAAAAATTAACCCAACCCATTCCCCTACATACATTTAACCATAACCCTAATTCATTTCTCAATTTTCATTTTCACCTTCTCCGGCTTTCCCTCTCCTTCTATTATGCGACTCTACCATCTGAATGCCCTCCATTCCATTGCCACCCTTCTACAATTCTACCCTTGCCCTTCTTAGTGCTCACCTTCTGCCGCCCCTTATTTTCTCCTTTGCACCAGTCGGACCATCTCAAATCCCATTCCCTCCATTGCACTGTTGGTCTGCTGCTGCCAAAGCCATCTGCCTACTGCTGCCAAACTGTCAAAGCCATTTACTTGCTGCTACCAAACTACCGAAGCCATCTGCTTGCTGCTATCTGGACTGCCGAAGCCATATGCGCATCCGTTGTAGCCTTGCCCTTCTTGGTACTGATTTTCTTTATTTTCAAAATACTGATTTTTTTTTTTTTCATGTTGGTTTAATTATTTGATTTATCTTAGATGGTTAAATACCCTTTTTGGTCCCTCTACTATAGGAAAAAGCCCCTTTTTAGTCCCTGTACCGAAAAAATCCCTTTTTTGGTCCTTACTGTTCACAAATTCGGCCCCTTTTTGGTCCCTCCGTTAATTTTTGCTCACATGGCACGTTAACTTAACGGGAACAGCTGATGTGGACTTAATGATACCCTCCACGTCACCCTCCACGTGCCGGAAAAAGAAAAAGAAAAGGTTAAATGCTAAA